CAGTCTTACTTTTGTTCTCCAAAGATGCCTCTATGTAGCCTTCAGCAACCGTGCTCGATTTCCACCCTCCCAGTCTTTTGAGTTGCAATAGATCGGCCCCGTTGTCAACCAATAAGGTTGCGGAAGTACGACGAAAAGCATGCCCTGTAAAAGTTTCAATTTTTGGAAGCTTCAAAAAAGCAGCTATTTTATGTGGAAATTTTGAGATTGAATGATAGCCAATTGCTTGGTTATGTAATTTCCCATTTCGCCATTGAACAAATAACCTGTCATTTTTCAAATTTTTCCGCAAAGTGAGGTATTTGTGGAAAATAGCAACCCAATCTGGATCGCTTATGATAAACGATCGACTTGTGTAAGTTTTTGTGTGTGGAATTTCTATAGCGATCTTTCCTTCCAAAACGTTGACGTGCTCCATTTTCATCTTGACTAGTTCATCGCTCCTACATGCACCCGACACACCAACAATTAGCGCTACCTGAAACCAGATAAAAATAAAATGGGTAACCTAGCTATAGCATACAGAAAATCATTTTGATTTTCGCATTTTTATCTTCTTTGTATATTTTTTGAAAACCTACCTTGATGCTAATGAATTCTTCAGCTGCCTTCGTGAGGAACTCGTTAATGTTTTCTCTGGAAAAAACGCTCGACTTTTTCGGCTGAAAGCCCAGATTTTGCCGCTTCAAAAAAGCTATAAGTTTTGCGTAATTGGAGATATCAACTTTCTCTTTCAATTTAATCATGGTTTTCAACATACTGTAAGTCGACCATAAAGTCGAAGGCTTCTTTTCCTTAGATAATTCGCCAAAATACGCCAACAAAACGGTCTCCGAGGCAGTATTTCTCGTTCCTTTCTGGCTACACCATGCTTCGAATATTTGAAAAGCCTTTTCGTACCGAAATTTGCTTTTTGCTGGAAGCAAACTCTCTCCAATCCTGTCTGCTGCTTCTTTTAATTCAGGTGGGGTACAATCCATCGCTTCATCTTCACTTTCCGAAATCATTTCTTTGGGGAGAACGGGGAGAAATCTAGTGAAAATCTATTATTTCCGCAAAAATACTGAGCGAAAACTACCGTCGTTAAGGCGTTGTTGATCTTATCACAAAACATCCCCCCTTAGAAATGTAAGTCTTATGAGAGACGTCAGTCTAGTCGTTTCAGCTTTTCCCTCCAATCACTAGAGGCGCTTCAATCAACCTATTAAAGTTTTCTTTTTCCTGCCGGACCGTGCGCCAAGATTTGAAGTTTATTTTGTCATTTCCAGTCGTCAAAATTTAAATTTTGAACTTCTCCCAACATTTAGAATTATCAATTACCTATCAATTATCAATAATTATTATCTCAAAATGTCTTCTCCCAGTTTGTTAATTGAAAAGCATCAGAAATGCTGTGTTCCGGGGTGCGGCGACAAATACAGCAGCTATTTCCGGTTTCCAAAAGATGCCGAAAAAATGAAACAATGGCTAATAAAAGTTCGCAATCTTTTACTAAATAGCCTCAGTGTCGAGAAGGCTTATAATAATTATAGAGTGTGAACAAGACATTTTCCTCGAGAATTTATTGTTGGCGATCCAAAAGCCAGACGAGGACTCACATGGAATGCTGCGCTTTTGCTGTATCTCCCTGAGGGTAAGTTAATACTAGATATATGTGAGAAAGACGTACTTACATTTTCACTTACTCCTCCCCATAGTTCTGATTAACGACAACGTGTTAGAATTCGGGTTTAAAGGAGCATAGGTCAGAAACATTAAAATTAATTTTAATTTTAGCCCCAATTATCAAAAACAGTGAGGAGTCGTTAATTGATAAACCACAATCACCAAAATGGCAAAAAGTGGAGATCGACACAGTTGAAACTCGTCGAAGAGTCCTAAGACGCCTTCAGAAATTAGTTTCGCAACTATGATTGACATAGGTAGGTAAACATAATAACTCTGTTCCAACACGTCAAAAAATCGTCCCATGCATGAACGGTTTCGAAACCACTCATTATAACAATTTTAGTTTCTGCGCAGAATCGTGACGGTACATTGTACGGTTTTCTGCTGTGTTGGAACAAAGCTAATATTATTCATTTTTTTTTTAAAATGTTTATTCCTTTATCAGGAGACACAATAATTAAAATATTCCTGGTTACATACAGGTACACCATATTCTACAATGCGTGTATCCAAACTTTTTTGGTAGAATCATTGGTAACGAAATTTCTGTTTTAGATCAACCAGGCCCTTCATGTCGTCAATTTTTATCTACTGAAACTTCTGCAATTCGGGCAGACATTGCTACACCAAGTGGAACCATCACATCTGCAAACATGAAAAAGTCACCAACCAACTTTGTCTCTTAAAACTTTTATTGGTAGGTACCTAAGTGTTATTGCTTAATGAATAACCACCCAGTTGGGAGTAGGTGAATTTTAAAACATCCTAACTCAAGTAGGACTACTACTATAAAAGACTACTAATTACTAAAACTTGCAGTCGAATGCTAGAAAAATTAGAAGCTAAATGTGCGAAAAACTCGTCTCCAATCTTGATCTATTTTTTTTTTTGCAGGTCATGAGAGACGATGCCAAATTTTAAAGAACATTAACGTCACTAGGCAAAAATTCCTATCCCCAAGGGAAAAATATCTTTATTCCAAAGTTATAGAATCCAGCAATAAGTTAAGAAGAATCAGTAGAAGGTTGTCGTCATTTAAATCCAAAGTTTCTGCTGCTGAATAACTTGCATCATAAACCAAATTTCAAAGGCTCGTAGACCACGTCAATCCATTGATATACAGCTTTATTTTAAGCCAAGTCCGTACTCAAAACCAAAAGCCTAAAGCTAGACGATTTACATTGGACGAGAAGTTGTTGGCGTTGTCTTTGCTTAAAGCTAGTGGTAAAGGGTATAGACTATTATCAAAAATATTTATTATATCATCCAGGCGAAATCAGTTTCTTGAATGAGCTTTATATTATGTATTACATAAACTTTCTACCTAACACATGCGGAAAGTGTATTTTCTGGACTTAAAGGCTTGTCCGAACTCTGCTTTTTGTTGTCATTCGTGCAACTTCCATCATGTGCAGAAACACTTTCCTCAATTGGTAGGTTAACAACGATTTTGGATTGTGAGAAAAGGACCTCTTTTGTCATTTTATTTACGATTTAAGTTTTTCATCAAGCTATTGTTGAATGTACGTCATTACTTCTTGTAACTGTCCTTATTATCTTTAAACTAGCATTACCTACCTATGTATGTATACTTACATGAAAAAAAACTGTTTCGCAAAAATTGTAATTAATTCCATATTCTATTATATTTTCTGTTTCAAACTTTAATAAATATCTAAATTTGTCATCTTAATTCTTAGTCAATTTTACCTTGAAGGCGCTTCAACACTACCGATTTTATGAGTTTCTTCTTTTTGGCACAATTATTTTATGCCAAAAAATGGTAGAAACTTTAAAGTGGTGGTGTTGACTCGCTAGAATCAAACAATGGTGCAAACGATTCACCGGAACGAATAAGATACCGAACGAACCCTAATTGTGTTTTGCATTCGCCAATAAATCCAGAATTACAAAAGCTGACCCCCCCAGTCACTAGAGGCGCTGAAAACTTATAGACAGGTTCTCAACACGGCACTTACCTTTCTAAGGGGGGATGTTTTGTGGATCTTATCTATGGTTGTTGATTTTGCGGTTTCCTGTGGTTTCGTCTTTTGTTTTGGCCTTTACAGGGCCTTTGAGATCGTCAAAATTGATGACATTGACAAAAAAAGTGAAATATTTTTTTCTAAGGCCAGTTTTACACTATATGAAAATTTCGTATAACAGAATCTTTAGTTTTTGCATCAGAAAATTAAGGGTTGAAAATAAAAAAGTATACAAACCTCGACGGAAAACTTCATTTCTGTCTCGAGGTTGAGTTTATCTCGACGCTTCGCGTCTCGATAAACTATAATAACCTCTCGACCAGCAATGAAGTATTTTCCGTCTCGGATTGTAATATACTATTTCCATTACCGGCTCTCGTGAAAGATTTCCTACGTTAAAAACTAGAGATGATAAAATATTGATCATTCTGTATCTTTATACAGTGTTAGAATTAGTAGGCGCCAAAATTTGGATTGGCCTTGGGCGCCGAGGCTTCTAGTTGCGGCCCTGATTTTATTCATTCCGGTTTTTCATCTTGTAAGTCATTCAATTTCGATTGTGAACCATTTAATGCACATTAAACTTTGTGAATTATTAATTTATTGATTTCGTGATTTTCTGAGGAGACGACGGTTAATTGAATTAATGAAGACCGGAGATTACAAAAATAATTTTAAATTTTTTGAGTGTTGCGAAAACGCTTTTACACTAAATTAACACTTCTCTTTTTAATTCGTGATGTCAACTATTGGGAAATCTCCAGGATATACCTATTTTTGATATTATATCTAATCACATCCTGGCACCAGCTTCATCGGTAGGTATTATTATGGTTTACGAAATTACAGAAAATTGGGAGCTTAGAAGGATTTGAAAAAAATTAGGGAATTTTCAAGCGAATTAGATATTAGATCAGTAGCATCTATGCCATGGAGTATAGATAAATGCGCGAATGACAATGTATTTCTTATTTGGTCTATCCGTCTTGCCCTAGAGAGTTGTTGCAGGTAGCACCTATTCCAGAAATAAATTCATATTATGAGTATATAATATTTTGCAGGGTACAAAAATGAAATTGCAGAGTTGGAGCGCAATTTTGCTGCATCCGAAAAAAGAAGAAAGGAAATTAAGGAAGAAAATAAAGAATTAGACAAACAGTATGAACAGTTGCAATTTTTTCATAAAAGGTAGGTAACAATTTCATCTTTTGATTATTTGGAAATAACTTATTCTATAGGTAGGTGATACAAGTTATTAGTTTAGTTCAAGAGACTAATTAATCTGTGGGCCTGCTTTAAACTATTTTTAATTTTTTCAGTGCTGAAAAAACACGTGAAATTGAACAGATGGCATTGTCAGCTTTCCATGCTTTGCACGCATATACAGCAGAAGAAGAAAAGTCAGTGAAACTGCAAGCCTTAAAACAGAAAGAACAATTGGACAAAAATTATATGGAAGCTGAAAAGAAAATGACTGAACACCCTCTTTACCAAGAGTTAGAAAAAGATAGGGTAATATCCGATCATATTCTAGTTTACTTATTTTAAATTTGTACAAAACTTTTTTCCTAGGCTAAGGCCTTAGAAGCAGATATGGAAACGCGCCAATTGCGACAGGAAATTGCTTATAAAAAATATGTAATAGCAAAAGAAGCGGAAATTAAAAAAACAATAAAGGACCAATATCTCTTGGTCCAGCAAATGGAAGAAAATCTTGAACATTTGAAGGCTGAAGAGAGTGAGAAAATGAAAAAGTTATTGAAGCTACAAGAAGGGGAAAAAATGGGAAGAGTCAAAATGATGCATATAGCTGTAAGTAAATTCCTTTTGTGTATGCAATAATTACATAGGCAATTTTTTAATTAGGATTCATTTTGATTTTATTTCAAGTGCAATGTGTCTCTTATGTAGAAAGACATCAAGCATCTCAAAAAATCTTCCATAGCCAAAAATGGCATGTTTAGAGTTTCATGGACACAACAACTCACATAATAGGGAGCTTGACAAAAAATTTAAACATGAAAATATTACTATAAATCATAAGAATATATTACGTTAAAACATAAAACAGCGAAAAAAACAAATTTTTTTGTCGCAAACGGCCGCAATAAGGAATTAGAAATGCGGAGAATTTCAATTAATTTCCAGCGGGAAAAAAGGCGATGATGAGAAGAACAGGGATAAAGAAACAAAACAGCAGCTCCGACCGTTTACTCGAACTCTACATAATAAATACCCGTTAGCTGTGTTTATCCACGTTTTTCTCTGATTTTTTAAAATTTTATCATTTATTCGAATTGGTTTACTTAGCTCAAATTTGATGATTAGCTCAGCATTATATAAATGAAACGATATGCCTAATAATTATGACCGAAGAAGGAAATTCCAAAGGCCAATCCGACAATCTGTAATTTGTTGATATGTTTATGGTAGCAAAAGTGAGTATGTGCTAGTCTTTTCTTCCATTATAACTTCACAATTTACAACTCGCCGCCGCAACACAAAACAACAACAAAACAAATAACGGTGGAAAATTGAAAAAAAATGTGGAAATTTTAGGGGAAATTTGGAAATCAATCAAATTAAATGCAATGAAGTATGACGTTTGGCAACAAGGTGACGCAAAATCATACTACGTGACGTCATCCGGATTCGCGCGCTTAGAAGGTCGTTCGAAATGCTTTTGATACGCGCGAAACTTTAAACATTTTTCACTAAGTTATTATTGAGTTTTAGGGAATAATATTTGGGGAATACTCTTAAGGCATAAATAAATGATTTTTTTGTCATATGCTCCCAAAAACAGCTATCTTACGGACTCATTCAAGTCCGTAAAATGCTTCTTTTCAGGATTTTTTTTTCTTTCTGGATGCACCTTTATGATTTCAAAAATTAAGGAAATTTTGCAAATTTTAGCGTTCTGAAGAATTCTAAAAAGCGTATGACAAAAAATAGTGTTTGTCACACGTACCTAACGAAGTTTTTCAGGACTCATTTGCTAGTCCGGACTCGGCTAACGCCTCGTCCGGAAACAGCAATGATTCGTCCTGAAAAACTTCATTTTAGGTACTTGTGACAAAAATAACTATTTTGAAAAAAAAAAAAAAAATTGTAAAGTTCCCTATTTTTGTTGATTTTTAGGAATTGGATACTTTCTGATAGTAGTTATATGTTCATCACTAGGCCTTATGCCCTTTACATCTATTTTATAACCAAAGTAGGTTATTTCATTTTGTAAAAAGAAACATTTCTCTAGTCTCCAATTTATTTTCTTTCAACAATTCAAAAACTTGCTTTAGGATTTCTGTGTTTTCATCAAAACTGCAGGTAGGAATTAATATATCATCCGAGGGGTAAACCACTCTGCGCAATACTGTTACAAATCGCGCGAAATCCCTGCGCAATCATGCGAAATCAGGCGAAATCGGGCGCAATCCTTGCGAAATCGCGCGCAATCCTTGCGAAATCCTGCGAAATCCTGCGAAATCGCCAGCAATCCCGCGAAATCACTTAACTTTGCGAAGTCGGAGCCTCGTTCAAATGCGGATTTCGAGGCTGACCAATCAGAGCTATTCAAAGAAATTGGCGGGAAATTCCTGCTTCTGACTTTTGTAGTCGTAATAATCGTTGTGCAAACGATTTTATAATTATTGTGTTTCACCAGTGTCTGTATCAGTTATTGAGGGATTGATTTTCAAAATTATCATATACAGTGTGTCCCGCTTTTCATGAATACACTCCGATATCTCAGTTATTATTTATGCGATTTCATTCAAATTTTGTTGGTGTTTGTATGTTAGAAAAATGAACTATTTGACATAGTAGACATTTTCATTTACCATTGGCGTGCGATCTTGGGGGGTGGACAGTGGTTGTAATTTTATGAAAAAGATATTAGAGCTTATTTTAGATAGTAGAGAGTTTTCGTTGTATTGCCAAATTCGAACGGTTAACCATAACGAATACGAAAACAAAGTCGCTATTTGACAGATCGTAAAAATAGTTTTCGTTCAATCCGCTTAACGTTAACTTTAAGTCGAATTCGACAAACATAACCTTTCTTTAATGGTTTGTGTTTATCATTGTGTTTATATACGTTTTGTACTTTGTTTTAATTTCCTAGTACCCAAAATTCATTAATTTTCCCTGTGGGATTTACAAAATTGGCTACTACAAAAGCCTATATAGATGCATCGTCATATGGGTTGTTGGCCAATATTTCTTCTAATATTTTATTAAATGATAAAGAGAAGTTCATGTCCTATATCCAATGAAGGGGGGTAATTCGTCGGTTAGGACAAGAAATAAAAGGCCTGTCAAGTCTTTGCCAACGTTTCGCCCAAAAGTTTAGGGCTTCATCAGGGCTTGTACTTAAAAAATTATGTGGCCAGAATTATAAAAAATAGTGCGAGATTTTCAGGATGGAACATCCGTGCATCATCCGTGAAACGATTTTTCAATCTTTTGAGGGAATTTAGTATTGAATCTATTTCGAAAACCAAAAACATTTAAAAACAAAAACAAACCACAACAAAAACATAGGAAATACGCATGCTTTTCGTTTTCGCTATGGTTTTGTCTTCCGTCTTCCGTCCGTAAGCTCCCGGCACTTATCGGTAACGATAACGATAAATGATAGCTTAAATGTCAAATTTGTCAAATAGCGGCTATCGGAATCGCTTTTAAAAAGCAACGAAAACTCTCTAATGTTTTGCATCAGATTACAAAATAAGCATCCCTAAAAACCCCTTAATTCATATTCCCAAAATCTCAAGAGATGATAAGAGCGAAAAAATAAATAAATTTATTTTAATTTAATTTTTCTAATGAGCTGTTTATTTCTAATTAGAAGGTAGCTATGTTGAAAATACAATATTCTAAAATAATGTCATCTGTAATTTAAGCTTCGCAAATAAAAATAAACAACTTATTCCAAAAAGTGAATTGATATCTATTTTTTTTTTTTGGTAAAATCAGCTCTTGAGAATTTGAAAATACATATGAATTAAGGGGTTTTTGGGGATGCTGAATTTTAATCTGATGCAAAAAAATATCCAAAATAAGCCCTGATATCTTTTTCCCAAAAATACAACCCCTTTTTACCCCCCAACAGCGCACGCCAATGGTAAATAAAAATGTTTACTATGTCAAAAAAATTCATTTTTCTTCAAACGTCAGAAAACCTGATATTTATGTACTTATTTTATTATGTTAAAGTTTAACTTTTATGTCAGTTGACGGTCACTATGGACAACGGAAGTAAAATACTTTTACCTCCGCTTGTGAGCGGGAGTAAAAGTCTTTTTTCTACTGACGTTTCATAATAGCAACTTTTCGATTGTCATTTCAGTTTTGAAACGACATTCTTTTAGGCACTGAGTGCGTGAAAGTTACTTTTAGGCACTCAGTGCGTAAAAGTGACTTTTGAATGCGTAAAAGTGACTTATGAGTGCGTAAAAGTAATTTTTAAGCACTAGTGCCTAAAAGTGTCATTCATTATTCAGAAATAAAAAACACACTAAACACATATTTGAATTTTGTTTTGTATTTATTATGAATATTGAAAATGGAATTACTGAATTGAACGTTTGGGTTACTCAAAACAGAACTTTGTGTTATTACCTACTTTCTAGGATTTTAATTATTGATGTCGAATTTTGAAAAGAAAATCGCATGAAAAGTGTCAGGTGTCAAGTAAAAGCAGGTAACAAAGATTTTGGGTGTAATCGACTTATTCACATGAAATAAAATTGTGTTTTTTTATTATAAAATGCCAGTAGAAAAAATCTTGTATACAATACGTTACGAAACGATGTCTTTTAGTCACTCGACGTGTTGTCCAACTCGGCTTTGCCTCGTTGGACAATTTTCACGTCGCGTGCCTAAAAGACGCTCATTTCGTAACTTATTGTATAAATAGCTATTACCTCCGCTCGTGAATATTTGCCAGAACAACGCAAAGATTGACAATTTGTCACCTAGTTGGTGGATTGTTCGGTAACATCATTAATATTTCAGAAAATTTCGATTTTTTTTCTATTGTTCAGATACGTTCGAAGAAAAAATAACCTGTTCTATTCGGAGTAAAAGCTACTTTTGTGACTTGTCTGTATTGCCGGCATCACCGCGTTTGGCAGGCAAACTTACAGATCGTCACAAAAGTATCACTTTTACTCCTAATAAAACAATATACTATTTTCTAACATAAAATCACCACCAAAATTTGAATAAAATCGCATTATCAATAACTGAGATATCGGGGTGTATTCACACACTGTATAATAAATACCACAAGAGAAAAAATTTTGTTGGCAAAATTTTCGACTGGTACGAAAGTTTGTTGCTTGGCAATTTCGCAAATGACATTTTTGACAAAACCACGAGCCGTCAGGCGAGTGGTTTTGTCAAAAATTTCATGAGCGAAATTACCAAAAAGCAACAAACTTGAATAAAACCAAGATAATAATTTTGCCTACATAATTTTTTCTTGAGTGGTATTCGGCTAGACTATTTCGCGAGAAAAACAATAAGCCAAATTTTCATTTGGAAAATTTATTTTCTTTAGGTGACACTTGTCAAACTCACTAGTTTTTTACTCTAACCACACAAAATTTTGTTGCTGAAAAACCATCATGTTGGTTTTGGAGTTTTGTCAGTAGAAATCGGCCGTTCCTATGACATTTTGTCAGTGTAATAGCTATTTATATAACAAGTACATAAAGTAAGGCTTTATTGTACGAATAATTTTATGGCCGAGCGAGCTTGCGAGCGAGGCTATTAAATAATGAGTCAATAAAGCCTGTTTATGTAAG